TTTTAAAATGTTTGGTTGGTACCTATCTACCTACGCAGTGCATATCCGGAGATACCGCGTTGTGGAAGTGTGGCATTTTTGTTCAGTTAGATTTTAATTACGGTGAATCCATAAGGAGACATTCTTATTTTTTGGTAAGTATTATACTTCCTTTTTCTTTAAGCCTTAATACTCAATAAATACCAATATGTTAAAAGGATGTCCATACCCGACCTATATTATATATCAATAATTTATGGCAGTAGGTCGGGTACTTGTAACATTAATAATATAAATACATACACACTTGATTTACTTTTTATTTTCAAGCGTAATGGTTGTTATATTAGCCTATACCTACATTTTTATTAATATTATGGAAAATTTGTACACGTGTGTACCATGGTAAATCCCCAACATACAGCCGCCTGACGCCTCTCTACCAATGGGATCACCCATTTTTTATAACAGAAAAATGGATTACTGATGAATTCTCAAGATAATTCATTGCTCACAAGTTGACAGCCAGTAAAACATTGCATTGATCTAAAACTTTTACGTTTTAAGGAACCATTTTGCTTAAGCCAGCCATACGACTCAAATATAAAATTATATTTTAAAAGGCACCGATTTTGATAATTGTCATAGATTTTTGTTCCAAATAAATGTTTCTCTTTGTTTACCTTTTCGTTTTATTCACTACCACCAATAGGTTTTACTCAAATACTAGTGTTAATTTACACTAGAAGTTTGCACTAAAAGAGTAAAAGTACCTTTCTAAAATTAGAACTTTTCCAAAGTAGTGTTAATTTACACTGAACAAAAGTGGGATTTTACCCAGGAAGTGTAGAAGTACACGATTTTAGGTAAATTAACACTTTTTAATACAGTTTAAAATTACTTTTTTCTCAGTGCTATAGTGTTAAATCATACTTGATTACTTGGGGAAAATTACACTACACTTTAACCAGGGCCGGCTTAAGGCAATTGAGCGCCTTAGGCACTTAAAAATTTGGCGCCTATCATTACATACTACACTTAAGGGGCCCTAGGCAAATAAATATAGTTACGTATTATATCACCTCCAACACTGAGAAAAAAGGTAAATTCGAACAAATGCATTTAATTATAATAAAATTATTATTAGGGTAGGTTCAGTACCTACCCTAATAATAATTTAGCAGAGTCTCTGCTGCAGAGATATAAAATTTAAAAATGCATATTATGCAAGTATAATTTTAGTTTTTACTAAAAACTTTTTAGGGTCCTAAAGTTTTATTAAAGATGTACTAAAATAGTAAGTATTTAAAAAAATGTAAAACAACTTTAATTCCCTAAATTTCTTTGTAAGATCTAGGTTTACTAAATTTTTAATATTAACATTTCATAAATAGGTAGGTACCTACCTTAAAACATATAGCAAATTTACACTATCGAAGACAAACAGCTATCTAACATAACTACCTAACTACTGATTAATTTCATCTGAAATAAATTTGTGTAGGGCATAAAAACAGAAGCGAATTTCTTTCGGAACGCGCTTCAGTGCGGCACACGCTTAAAGAGCGGCACGCCTTTGTCGGCTTGACACCGCGTTATTACAAAGGAAGCCGCATTTTTTAAAAATGATTATTTGGTACTCTACCGTACCTACTCATAATTGTATATTGTTTATTTGTTTCATATTTGTAAAACCATTTTTTAAATTTTTTAAGTTGGTTGGGGACAAGGCGCCTATTTCTTCTTGGCGCCTAAGGCAATTGCCTATACTGCCTAATGGTTAATATGGCCCTGACTTTAACTCTAATTGTAGTGTTATAAAACAACACTATTTAGTGTGGACCTGTGTGAACTCTAATTAGCGTAATTATAACGTTATTTCTACGTAAATTTGTGGTATTTATATTGTTTTTATTACGTTATTATCTTAGTAGATCAAAAAGGTTAATATGTAGCTAAAATAACGAAATAAACCATTCGCCACTATACTGAACAGAAATGACAAAGAATTTTTATATTTATTCTATAAGAAAGGTTGGTACAGTGGAAAGTTATAAAGCGAAAGAAATTAAGGCGATTTGAACTCGAGGAGTTTATCATGTTAAGGGATTACATAACCTCCCAGCGGGTTTTAAACGAGATAAATTCGAATAAAAGGAAAAGAAAGAAAATTTAAATGTATCCGCTGGTGGATATAAAAATGAGAACGGTTTACGTGTGTATAAAAGGGGAATAAAAACGAAATTTGTCTTCCAGCGGTGACAATAATTTGTTCATTTGATAAAATTAAAAAGTGTTTATGGGTGAATCTCACGAAATATCAGTTCACTAAGTAAATTAAACACATCCAAAGCAATCGAATCAAATATAAAATATTATTAAAAATTAAAAGAAACAATTTTTATAACCATTTATGTGGGTGTTACAAAAATTGATTCTATCCTCCGTGAATCTGTTTTTGCTTTAAATTTTATGCAACGGATGGCGCTTTAATTATTTTAAATAAGCAAAAACCTGTTTACGACATTATATGTAGATGCATGTGATTCCTGAAGGTTAGTTAGAATTTATATGCAGATGAGAGTGTTGCTGTTTTATAATTCAAAAGTTTAATTTCATTAATTTGCTATTTAAAAACCTATCCACCGTGAAGTGTAATATCTCAGTAAGTAGATTTTTTAATGAATATTTTATTTAACTTAAATAAAATCATGAAACGTTATATTTAAAATTAAAAAAACCCCATACAACTTATGGTAATATATTCCTTATAATTCATATTGCCTGCAACTCAGCTATTCAGCGAACAAATAATCCTCCGTGAGATGAGATTTTATTACTTGGAAGCCTGAAGTAATATTTGTTGACTCTATAGGCTCCGGAAGAACTGATTACGAATTTTCCGGATACCCCGGATTTACTCTATCTATCTCTGCCTACCTCCGGAAACTTCTTCCGCTTAATATAACGATCGTATAGGCGGATATATTGGGTCTTGTAGGGGGGTTTTTCATTTTGTGTCATCCATTGAAATATATTTTTAATTTCCAAATATACAGGGTGTTATGTAATTAATGTTATATATTAAAATACTGAATACCTTTTGACATAAGGAATAAAGGAAAAATATTTAAAAAAACATTTTTCCAAAGATAAAGAAAAAATATGCATTAGAAGTTTTTTATATTTTTTGTGATACGCCACTGGTTACACACTTGTTTATCTCTGCACACCTGTATTTTGTGAGTACATAGATACAAACCAACAAAGTAGCTATGCGTTGCCAGATGTAAAAAATTGTTACTAAAAATTTTTCTTGCAAAAAATAAATAAAAACTCAATAAATACAAAAGTTTTATGCCCTTAAAGCTCTAATACCCTTCTGTATTTATTTACTGATCCAGCTATTAGCTTAAGCAATGATTAGAAAATTTAGTACCTTTGAAATTTGAAATCCATAACCACAAAATTAATTTTTTCATCAGTTTTTTTCTCTGTTTACTCAGATGAAATTGGGACCCGTTCACAGGTTAAACTTTAAACATTTAATTTGTGTAAATAAATCCAAAAGCACTTCCCTTAGTTAAGATATTTACAATTTGAAAACATAACCTAAAATTTAAAAGAAATGCACTAGATTCTGTCATAAAAGTTGGCAGATTTTGTTTGAATTTACCTTCAGTACAAAAATGAAATAACCAACAATTAATAAAAACGCCAAATTGACAATTTGCATTGTTAATTTTGTCATTTTTGTAATTAAGCTAAATTTAAACAATGTTTGTCAACTTTTTTGAGAGATTTTGAAAACACTGTGGTTAGTAACCACTGGTTACCAACCATAACATAATAAATCCACCAGATTAACCTAAAGTTCCTAGTCGATCAGTGGCGTACTTTTTGGTAGGATAAAGGTTATTATTAATTATTTTTAGACTTTGGAATTTAGAAAAAAAGTTTCAGGTGCTTCTTTATGGACCCTAAGGAACAACCCATTTTAATATATAACATTAATTACATAACACCCTGTATATTATAAAGTTTTAAAAAACGAATAAAGCTCAGAACTTTTTTAATAATATCTAAATTTATGTAAATTTAACAACAAATTAAGTAATTGTCAATTCAATAAACTATTTTCATTGTAACAATGGTCACATTTTCAACCTACTGTTGGGTGTTGGGTAGTTTTTTAAATAATTGCAAGGCAATAAAACAAATTATTTATTATAAAAAAAAATTAACTCATATTATATGATGTACAAAATAAAAAAATACGAACTCACTTTTTAAACAACAAGTCTGCTTCGTTTATAGAATATACCTTAAATATTTCTTATAGAAAACGTCGAAATTTTAATTTTTTCTTAGTGATCTTTTTGATATATTTATCATGTTAGATTTTACCACTCATCACTCGCACAAGTGAAATTAATAAGATTATAACACAGACTGTGGATTATAAAGTTATGTTCACCAAGGAGAGCGCTGGCCCTTTCCCCCTCTTTTTAATGGAAATAACAAAAATGTTGTTACCATTGCAAAACAATAGTAAATATATAACAATATAAATATTTTTGTTATTGTTCTTAACGTAAGCTATTAACAAAGATTTTCTAACTGAAATAAAATTAATTTGAATTACAACGATAGTAATTTAAAAAAGACAAATATGCCATAGTAAAATGAACAAATTTTACTATAACAACTGCGCATTACTTTATGTAAGCGCAATTCACACACAACTATAAATTTAACAAAAACATTTTAAGCGACAAAGATTTAATATAAACATAAAGTATTTCTTATTGCCATGACAATATGATAACAACTATTACTTTGTTGGATGAACATTTTTTTTTATAAAAGCTCAACATTGCTGCTTCATTATAGTAAATGAGAATTTTATTAACAGTAAAAAAAGTTTATTCTGTGAATAAAAATAATCTCATTCCTTTGACAAATCGTAGGTTGTGCATGTACATTTTGAGTGTCTAACGCCTGTTTTTCGTTTGTTTCAGCGATTGGATGACGGCAATCAGCAATACTGTAAGTTGGCCATGGATAAAGGTGTATTCAAAGCGAGTTTGCATCGAATTTTGTTGTTCGAATGTGTTTGTTCTTGTCGAACATATTGATTTTGCAGGAACATGTTTGTTTGTTGTTATTGGCGTGTAGTCTGTCTGTGATGCTTGTTTGTTTGTTCATTTAAAAAAAATCCTATGCCTAAATGACAAAATCTCATTTTTAGTTATTTTAATATGTCATCTACACTCACAGGCAAAATAATCGATCCACACAAATTTTCGATGAATTTCAATCGCAAATAACTTTTTTATTTGATTTCGGATTTAAACGAATATTAAAGAATATTGTAGATAAATTAATGGACAATCGCTCACATTTTAAAAAATTACTAAAAAATAGACGTACGTTTATAATATACAAGTTTAAACAAAAAGATGTTTTTTACCATAAGTTTAAGACACTCTGTAGAGTGGCAAAACCGTATATTGTTCTAAATTAAGTTTAATTTATCAAGTCACATCTATTCTTAACAGTTTTGTTTTTGGTTCACCTCGATATATTTATTTTTGTGGAAAATATGGATTTAAAAAAAAAACATTTCAATTTCCAATATTTTTCTGTATGAAGAACTAAGGTTGTTATGGTCCATCCATAGGCTATGGAGAATGACAGTGACAGTTTGTTGAATCATCCCATACTTGGACATGTCATACACGGCTTTCAAAAGCTATCAAATTGTTTTTTGCAAATTAATGTTTAAATTTTGAGGTGTGTTCGTACTTTAAAAAATGGATATGTCTCCGACTGATGTTGCCAGAGCCATTAATTTAATCCAGGATGGACGGTGACAGTATTACGTGGCAAGTGTTTTAAACGTCACAAGAAGTAAAGTACAAAGGGTAAACTCAGTGGAAGACTTTTTTAAAAGTAAGAAGACACCTCAAAATTAACACATTAATTTACAAAAAACAATTTCATAGCTTTTGAAAACTGTATATGATATGTCCAAGTATGGGATGATTCAAGAAAACTGTCACTGTCATCCTCCATAGGCTATAAATGGACCATAGCAACCTTAGTTCTTCATACAGCAAAAATATTGGAAATTGCAATGTTTTTTTAAAAAAATCCATATTTTCCACAAAAATAAATATATCAAGGTGAACCAAAAACAAAACTGTTAAGAATAGATGTGACTTGATAAATAAAACTTAATTTAGAACAATATACGGTTTTGCCACTCTACAGAGTGTCTTAAACTTATGGTAAAAAACATCTTTTTGTTTAAACCTTTATTTTATAAACGTACGTGTATTCTTTAGTAATTTTTAAAATGTGAGCGATTCTCCATTAATGTATCTACAATATTCTTTAATATTTGTTTAAATCCGAAATCAAATAAAAAAGTTATTTGCGATTGAAATTCATCGAAAATTTGTGTGGATCGATTATTTTGCCTGTGAGTGTATATTGTTGCATTAGCGAGTTATGAATTTTTTCTCATGTCTTTAAATTTAGGTTGTTACCCCTGTATAGCCGCTTTTTAAATAAAAGAAATAACAAAGACACCCTATATAAAAAAATATGTTTAAACAAACTTTTACGAAACATGTTTTTGTGTAGCTTATCCATTTTTTGTTTTGTTTTACTTTCATGTAGGTCGACTGGCTTTTGATGGATGTTATTAATGTCCATACATCCATCCTATATTTCGAAATGTCACTTGCACGTCTGTGGGTGACTCTTGATTGCCCCCCACCCCCTTTTTGCCCCTATACCCCAAAGGGACAAATTCATATCATTTCTATGCTAAACGCATTGTTTGTGTCTATGGTCTTCAAAGGACAACCACACAGAACTCATTTGATCATAAATATACATACAATATTGTTATAACTTTTTGTAGAGCCTCTTGTCTTCTCATATAATAGTTTAGAACCAAATTGTATTAATAATTCGTTAGACGGTAGTAGTTTGCCTGCACGAGACGTCTAAATGGCTTATTGCTAATTAATGTTTGTAGTGGGCTGTTTATTTTAACAGTGAGGGTATCGATTCGCGATTGTTTCAGTTGCCACCACCCCCGCACCTGCCTTTGGAAGACAAAAGACTATCGCTGACGCCCCAAGAGATGCAAGTGAAAACAAACAAATGTAAGTGAAAAAAAAAATTAAATGAAAAATCGAATAGCAAAATATCTAATTTAATTTTCAATCAGAACACCAATTTTACGCATGAGTATCTGAAAAATGGCTTAAGAATACCAAAACTTATTTATATTTAGCTTAGTTAGCAATTTTATAACATTTTAATCTAGAAGGCTGTTATTTTTATTTGCATTGTGTTGGCAGTACGTATTTTACAAGTGTCAAAAGGTCTTCGCAAGTGACATCTGTCAAAACTTTTGACTCAAAAGCTTGTAACTAACTAACTAATTAACCTTGTAACTAACTAAATATGAATTTAATAATACTGGATTTTTTTAATTACAAACAAAAAGACATTATTCATCCACCGTACCGAAAACCACTAAAATTTAAGTAATTTATTACTTCAGATAAGCCTTAAATACCTACCCATCCACCGAAATTTTAACTTTTAAAACATGCTTTATTATAAAAAAAACGTTAAAATATCTCGTCTCGTTTTTGCCGGATGAAATTTCAAGCATTTTTAACATCCTTTTAAAATATTAAAGGAAAATAAGTTTAATAGGTTTTAAATTTACCTTAATTTAAAGAAGGTAGATCTGTTCATCAGTTTTATGTATAAAAAGCTTAAAAAACTTTGTTTATTGCGCTGTTATTTATGCAAAGCATTCTTGATTTTTGCTCTTACATATATTTATACGAACTTTCGTTGAAATTCTTAGATAAATGCAGTATTTATTTACCTCACACAATGAAAAATAGTACTAAACATGCATAAAACCGAAAACAAACTTACCCCTTATAAAAAACCTTTGTAAAAACAATTTAAACGTTTATAGACACAATTTAACTACGTTTTTAATACACTATTTGCACAGACTATTTGAGTAACTGGCTTTTGTTTATCGCTGTCAAAATTAAATTGTCATATTGGAAAGTTCCGGTGGCGCCAAATTTGAATTTAAAATGTTCGTAATATTACAAATGATGACTATTGGTGAACAATTATATCTATTCCATAGCAAAATGCTTCTCTTAAATAATTAACTTGGCCGTTAATCGAATTAAACTCCAAATTAAAATCCTTAATTATTTTGTTGTGTGAAATCTACATAAAATGCTCGTTTAATTCTCTAGATAGGATGCCTAATGAACGCTTGATGATGAAATATTTAATTCTAAAAACTCTCGACCTTTTTAAAACGTTTTTTAAATTAATTTTAATTGTTTTGTATATTTTTTGTGCTTTATTTTGTCGAAATTGTAATAAAGGTTAAAAGACAATAAACAAAATCCCGTTTTTTTTAGTCATTGATTATACTAAACATTCGAACAAAATCCCATTTCCGAGTGATTTAATTTCGCCTCGTTGTAGAATACGAATGGGATTTTTATTGCGATGCGATAATCGTTTAATTAGCGCCAAAAAGCCAATTTCAGCAGGAAAAGTTCGAGTTAATTAAATTTTTAGCAGTTACCTGCACTGCTTTATTATATGAGCATTAATAACTTTGATTTTTACTGCTTTTAGTGGAGGCAAGTGCTAAAATATTTATACTCTGGTATAAAGCTTTTAATTTTAATACCTACCAATTCAACTACCTAAAAGTTTTGACCATTAAAAATGAGAACATTTCGATTCGAAGGGGAAAAGCTAACCTAAAAATCTTACAAATCCAATTCTTTACATTTGCTGAGTCAGGTTTTAAGGGATGACCAAAAAAATGTTTTATACGAGGTGCAACAATTTCACCTTCATAATATTGTAAAAATCATTTATCTAATTTTGTTCCAGCCAGGGTAGCCAACGGATGCGCGTTGCCGGTGAGGAACGGCAACGTGGCGGCGGGCCGACGGCACTCGCCCGCCAACATCGGCAACGGCGCTGCGGTGGGAGCGGGAGCGGCAACAACGGCGGCAACCACGACTACAACGGTCGCGGCCTGCTACAACAACGTGAAACACAATGCTCACACCAATCACAGTCAAGTAAGCAACGGGGTAGTTAAATTTTTTCTGACCTATACTTTTTATGGTTTTATTCAAGGCGTTTTGTAATTTTAAACATTTCTGTGAAATCGGAATTTCAATTGAGTTTACCGTTTTCGAGATATTTACAAAAAAAAATTTCCTAATTACATCACTAGGCTATTGACAACGTTGCCAGCTTTTTCTATGGTTGCCAGTGTGTTTAGTTTAAGATTCTTACGATAGATGGCGCCACGTTATAATATTTTAGTTTTAAAACCACTTGATCTATAATTTTAGTTGAGAAGAAGAAGAAGAATTGATTTTTTGACGTTTCTTTTTTCGGGTTATGTTTTTTTCAAATTTAGATTATTGAAAATCAATGTTATTGTTATGTTATTTGTAATTGATATTAGATTAGTGATTTATTAATAACGGACTCCAAAGCAGAGGAATCTTGTGGAATGGTTGGTTACATTGACATTGGAGCTTTTAAACAAATAAAGTAAGTACCTATAATTATAATCATATTTTGTCGTAAATGCATTTCATTAGTATAATGCCTAGTTCTTTATATTCTTTTAGATATATCTTGGACTCTAAAATATCAAATAGTAATATGATACCTCGTAATAAGGAAGATAGTACTTAATAAATTTGGTGACCATCTTTCACTCAACTGACAGTGACAGTATTTGTACATAACCTCTTCGGGTATTTTCTGACATAACCGAATGAAATCATTAACAAGACAACTTGACAACAGGGTAATTTTCAACCAATAGAAATCTTAGAATGTTGGTCACATGGCGAGGTTTGTGACGTCATAAAAATTTATATTTTTTGTAAATATCTCGAAAACGGTAAACTCAATTGAAATTCTGATTTCACAGAAATGTTTAATATTACAAAACGCCTTGAATAAAACCATAAAAAGTATAGGTCAGAAAAAATTTAACTACCCCATTTGTAGAGGTTCTTGAGTTTTTAAAAGGTTTGTTCCAACCGCAGTAATATCACTGACACATGCGCACTAATAAAACATGTTATATTAGGTTTCAAAGTATTTCAAAATTTTTTTTTTCATATTTTTTACCTTAAGTAGGGTAAACAACATAGTTATTGGACACTTTGGGAATATTATTTATTTATAATTTATATATGCCGTATAGTTTGTTTAAACTTTATTTACGTTTACTTAAAAATAAGAATATTTAAATTTTTAATAATAGTTAGTAGTAATTGGACACAGGATCATAGTTATCAAATAACATAAATTGTTAAATATTTTTTAAAGATAAATTGCTGTTTTAGGTAAATTTTTTTTCGTTTTTGTAAATATCATATTATTCATTTTTTTTCTCCGATTCCTCATCCCTTTTCTGCATTCTGAAGGTAACTACTAATTCCTTGGTCTGACTTCTGAAATAGTTTGTTGCAAATTATTAAGTGTGGTATCACTATAGTTTGTGAAGCATTTATAATATTTAGGCCGGAACAGGATGATTTCAATATTTGTAATATTTTTTCGGGTGGTATGTTAAAAGTATTTTCCGAATTTATTAATTTTGTTGCCATTAGTTTTTTATGTTCTCTATCATGCACTGTTATTCTGCAAGATGTCCTGTGACGAAGAAATCACTATATTACCACTAATAATTCTCGTCAACAGCAATTTGTATCCAGGACATTTAGCAGTCAATTCCTATGAAATATTATTCGCTGAATCCGAAAATGTCGTCAAAAGTTATAAAAGTAGAACAGTTTTTGAAATATAATCAATTTTACATAAAATATGGAATTGACTAGGTATATCTCAAAAACTGCTTAATTCTTGGCACTGGCCATTTTACTGTTTGTTTTTAGAATTACAATTAAAACGCATTAAAGTGACAATGTTTAAACCATGAGGAACACATTTATACTACACACTGATCTGTACACTTTTTAGAAATATTTTTTATTGTAATTTAAATAGAGCCCTGCTCTTAACAAAAATACAAAAATCTTACCACAGACCTGTCTGTGAATCTTACCACCAAAGTAACGTGCGAACTTTTTTGTCCTATATTGGACCCAAAATAAAGTAGTTCTATATTATTACCGACTGATTTGACTTTAATGTAACTATTTATAGAACTCTTGTTTTACAGAATTAATGTTAATTGTCCAATGTAATGGAAATAGAAATGCGAATGTGTCAGTAATATTACGGAAAATGACTGCCGGTTGGAACTAACCTAGTATTTATCCATCAAAAGTTATCAAAAAAATAAAATAAAAAATGTTTACATATATATATATATATATATAGGTATGATATATAATGAAGCTTAAGAATCTTAATTAACTTAAGATACGGAATTCTCCGAACTTACTAAACAACTAAAAGAGTTTTGGAGAGGGAAAAGTTTGGAGCGATTGAGTTTCAATTTAAAGTTTTCAGAAAGTCCAATTTATCCACTACAAATGAAAGTTTAAGTGGGCTAAATCACAATCCACACAACAAGGTCTGTTCTATCTCGAACTAAAAATACAAAAAATCACTGCAACACTGCACAGTTTAACGGCGGCCATTTTTGCTGTTTACAATGTTTGTGCTTTGGGTTTGTGCTCTGTGTAGGTATACAGATTAATAATCGTTTTAAACGTTGTGTTTCTCATATATAGTAAGCCTTAAAAGAGTCCTTAAAGTGCTAAGAACAACCATTTTACTCCTCTATTGTAAAAAATAAACTTTATTCTATCAGGGCTGTCATAAAACTGTCAAATGTCAATATTAAGGTTAAATTATAACCCACAAACTAACCTTCAAATTGTCATTTGACAGCCCTGATATAATAAGGTATATTTATTATAAAAGAGGAGTAAAATGGTTGTCCTTAGCACTTATTTGAGGCTTACAAGTGCCTCTGTAAGAAACACAACGTTTAAAACGATTATTAAACAGCGCAAACGCAAAGCACAAGAATTGTAAACAACAAAAATGGCCGCCGTTAAACTCTGTGCAGTGTTGCAGTGATTTTTAGTATTTTTAGCATGAGATAGAACAGACCTTTCCTGATAGCACAGTTTATTCTAAGAATGTTTTTTAAACCTTCCAGTGGGAATATTCTCAGGATCATGCTATATTTCTTCTAGTCATGTTCTAAGAATGTTTTTTACACCTTCCAGTGAGAATATTCTTAGGATCATGCTATATTTCTTCTAGTCATGTTCTAAGAATGTTTTTTAAACCTTCCAGTGAGAATATTCTTAGGATCATGCTATATTTCTTCTAAAGAACATGCTTAAAAGAAATATAGCATAATCCTAAGAATATTCTCACTGGCCTATAGGCAGGTTCTTAGAAGGTGCAAAGTTTAATGGTAAAAATTAATCCACTCTAAACATATGCTCAGAATGATGAGAAAGTAATTGCTATAGAAAGTTCATTTAGGAATATTTCTGGAACATTCTTTTAAGCATATTCAGTTCAGTTAGGTACCTATATAATAGTAAAATATACCATAATCTACGTATAAAGGTACCTATACTTAGTATTAAATACTAAGTAAAAAACACAACCCAAAATATTTTTTTATAGTTATTTGTCAAATTAAAACAATATTCGGTAACAAAAATACTTTTACTATAGGTATCTAAATTATCCGGCTTTTATATAAAATCTTCTATCCAACTTAAATAGGTACAATGAAAAATGTTTTTTTTATGAAGAACTATTTGGTTTGTTCTTTTATGAAGAATTATTTTATAAGGAAATATTTTGTTTTTTTATATTTTATTTTTTGTTAAAAATAAATATTTATTAATTTGTATACCGATTTTTTATATCTGAATTAACATTTTTATGTATAATAATCCTAACTATCTTCAACTTCAATCTAATCTGACTTTAAGGATATATCCCACAAAATTTTCCAGTTTTACTTTTTATGAAATAATGTCAAACAACTTATGGTTTACAGGTCAAATTGTTTATTTAATATTTTTAAATAAATATATATATATATTATACATATTATGTCGAAAAATTTTTTAAGGGGACGACAAATACATTTCACTGTCATATTATGACAGTGAGGCGTATTTGTCGCCTCCTGAAGAATTTTACGAATGTAGAATCCAACATATTAGAACGTGGGTATCTGACATATTTGGAAATTTTCTCAAAAGCTTCTTAGAAGCTCCATAAGAAACCTTTTAAGAACATTCCAAAAACTTATTCTTAAATGTTCTTAGATTGCTTTTTAGGAAGGTTTTAAGAAGCTTCTAAGAATCTAATGGGTATCTATTGAATGTTTTAAAAGTCCCTAAGAACATTCTTAGCAATAAGGGAAGGTTCTAAGAATATTCCATTATTCCGGGTCATATCTTCTTAGAATCAAATTTTGCTATCAGGGTTGTTGTGTGGATTGTGCTACTGATATTATTTTAAAGCGTTTTTTCCATTAAAACATCATTCTCTCCGACTCAGGCCTACGATGCGGATCACACGGTCCTTTCGGGCGTGGTAATCGACTGGGGCCATGGCTGGGGGTGGGGCCAGGCCGCCTGGGCTGCGCAGACTGCCTGCGCGCACGAGGCTGCAGTCACCAGCGCCATCTATTGCCACGCGGCGGACGACTACGCGCTGGGAGGCTACGACGAAGTCGATTGGAGCGCTTTCGGCGATTTCAGCTTCTAATTGCATTTAAAGATGAAATTTAATTGTCGTTAGATGGTTTGTTCAGAATTCGAGCCTAGTTGTTTGTAAATTGACGGTGATGAGGCACACGCGATGATTTTTCTTTAAGTTGGTGATCATGCAGTGGCCAGATTTATTTTTTTGAGGTTGGTACCGTGATGCAAAGGTATGTTCTTCAGTACACAAGAACATATTGTTAATGTTTATATGGTTTTTAAATCTAAATACAATTGTATTCAATAAAAAAGCGTACAAGAATTAGAATGAGAGAAAACTGTCAAAATAATATTATTGCTTAAAACCGGCTTATCACTGACATGTCATTAAAATAATTACTATAGGTTATAAAGAGCATTGACGTCGTAGGTTAATTAAATAATATTACAAAAATTATTACCTTTTAGAAATGAAAAAAAACCAAACATTAAGAAAAATTTAATATTAAGTCATGCATCCCTGTTTTTCTATTACTTAAGCCAATCTATTTGGGATGAACTAAATTAAATTTAATACAATATTTGGATTAATATCTTCCCAGCAGTATAGTATAGTCACAGAATAAAGTTCTTTATTCTGTGGTATAGTTGTATAGTTTTCCATAAATCCTCAGATATCCCAAAAAAGCAGCATCCTGTTCAGGGGTGGACATTTTGGGACGACCTGAACCAACTTTTTGGTTTAGTAAATCTTCCTGTTCCCAGCTTAATTTTTAATATAGATTTTTTTATTTCTATTATACCACAGTATGAATTGACCATTCTTCTTCGATTCTTGATACTATTTGAGCCATAGAAAAAGGATTTGAGCCTTTTTAACTGACTAGGCATTTTTATTTTCTACTGTCAGTTATAATGACTTACGTCAGTGGAAAGCCGGTTTTACGCAATAATGTTGATAGTTTTCTCTCATTCTAATTGTACCAAGTAAAATACAGAAGCACCATTAATAAGTTATTAATAAAATAAAGTAGCCAATTACAGGCGTGCTCTAGCAGAATGATTAGAGGTGGGGCAACACAAACTTTTGTAGAAATTCCATGGCTATGAACGTATCATATTGTGAAATGACCTTAATTTTATTTTTTTCCCTGTCACTGTCAGTGTTTTGGTTTTTTAGGTTCAGGAGAAATGTCAATTTTTTTGTAATATAGGTAATAATAATTATTAATTTTAACATTATTATTTAATTAGATACATTTGAATGAATATGTAATAATCACAATCCACACAACAAACCCTGTTTAAAACAGGCTGTTTTACTTATCTTGTTTCGCGCATACTAATTTTTTAAAATCACAGAATCTAACGGCGGCCATTTTTATGTTTATACAGAATAAAAATCATTTTGAACGTTGTGTTTCTTACAGAGGCACTAGTAAGCCTCAAATAAGGCCTTTAAGTGCTAAGAACAACCATTTTAAACCCTATTTTATCAGGGCTGTCATCAAACTATCAAATTTAAATTTGTGGGTTATGGTAAATTAACCTTAAAATTTAAATTTGACAATGTAATGACAGCCCTGATAGAATAAGGTTTATTTTTACCGAAAGAGGAGTAATACGGTTGTTCTTAGCACTTTTAGGCTTAAAAGCGCCTCTGTAAGAAACACAACGTTTAAAACGATTATTAATCTGTATTAGGGCCACCAATTTTTCCTAAAAAAAGAATGTAGTTAAAACTAACCTAAAACAAAAACACTGACAGTGACAATGTCAACCATATGATTAAGGTCATTTTACACTACAATTTTATATAGAATTTCCAATATTAAGCTGCACATTATAGTTCTCCCACCTCTAATCGTTCTGCTAAAACACGCCTGTGATTGGCTACTTTATTTTATTAATAATTAATGGTACACGATCTGTCCATTTATTTATTTTACCTTTATTTTTGTTTTTTGTTTGCCCCAGATATGCTTAAAAGTATTCATGAAAACACCAATCGATTTATCTTGTGCAACCAGAAAAACAAACAAAATTAAAAAGAAAATAATCTCATTCAATTATTTTAATGTTGAATGCGTTGTTAAAAACAACTTTTTAATATTTTCCCAAACTGAACTTAGAGTAGAGAATATAGGGATTAGCATATTCCAAGGTGTTCTAGATAGAAACAATTCACGACAGCTGCCCAATAAAAACGTTGTATATATATATATATATATATATATATATATATATATATATATATATATATATATATATATATATATCTGAGTAGGCTGTGGATGTCGCGTGTTCGTGACGGACGATTCGCAGCTGTTTCCAACATTTCAACCCTGCCTACTAGATGAGGCACATGGCTAAAAACGTGCTCAAAAGACGAACAATTGAATTAATTTGTCAGGAGAAAATTTCAATATTTTTCAGTCTAGACTCTAGAAGATTATATATATTTTTTAAAAATTTAAAAGAAAAATATTTTTTGTCCATGAGTTGTATGCTCTAAGATTCAATAAAAACCCGCCGATTTTTTACACATTAGATACGATCAAGAAACTGGTTTTTATAAATTCAATTGAAATTATGTAATAAATTAATTAATAAATTCGCTTATAATAGTTCAAAGCTTCTAAACTTATAATTTTCCGTTATGAGTCTAGTGACTAAATTTATTATCTTATAAAGTGTGGCACTTACCAATAATTGTTCGTGGTAGTACAATCGATATTGTACACTTAGAAGTTTCATAATTAATTTTCATTTTGAAGAAGACAATTTTTGGTGGAAATTATGTTTAAAATACCGTCGCCTTTTCAACCCAAAAGTGGATTAAAATTTCTTGGAACTGCAAAAAACAATATTGCGCCACACTAAAATATTGATTTTTATGAATAACTTTAAAGGTATGATAAATAGATATAAAATGTAAAGGACATTTTTTTTAGAGAATTTTTTGATCTTCAATTTTTATAATGAACAAAATTGTCGTTATGTTAACAATAAGCGAGATATTTGCAAAAAACAATATGGCGCGGCACTAAAATATTGATTTTTTTAAGCTATAACAAATTAATAAAAAATGTATAGTACCTTTTTTGTAGACAATTTTTCGATCTTCAATTTTTATTATAAACAAAAATGTTGTAATGTTTATAATAAGCGAGATATTTGAAGAAAAAAAAATTTGACGCGGCACTAAATTAATGATTTTTCTGTATAACTTTAAAGCTATACAAATAAATAAAAAATGTATGAGACCTTTTTTGTAGATCATTTTTCAATCTACAATTTTTATAATAAACAAAAATGTCGTCAAGCCTATACCACGCGAGATATTGGCAAAAAACAAAAATAAAGGTTTTTGTTTAAATACCCAACATTTTTCGAGCACCCTGTACTAAAACCAAATTTTTGTTTGTTTTATTTATTGTTTAAAAAACGTAATGTATGAATTGAAAATATATGTGTATAATAAATAAGTGTCTAAAATAGTTGACTGAAAATAGCGTGTATATATTAACACTGCCATATAGGTTAGCTCATACACATGAGACCTCATTAAAATGGTAACTTTTATTACATAAAAACATATTTCTTTTATTTCCTCGCTGAATTTAATTTGACAGCTCAACTTCATTGTGTTTATACAATTTATAAATTAAATCTTCTTTTTTTTAAATATGAAAAAGTTACTGTTTTATCTTTACCTATAAAATGTTCAATCACAGTTAAAATACAATTTTTGCAACTTTTGTACATTTGTTACAAAAATACTGCGGTTGAAAAAATTTATGGAAGTCAAATATAAAGTTCATTTTTTTTAATCTGGACTGCGGCAACGTTGCAAATTTAGGGTTTTGGTTGGTAAATACAGTTGTCAAGTTGGTCGCATTGATTAAAACAAACTAAGCTATCGTTGTAAATCTAATTGTGGTTATGTATAAATTATTGTAGGTTACATTGTGCAGTTGTCAAGTTCAGTTGTCGAAATTCGTAGTTAAAAATGCAATTAATTTGGCTTTGGTGGTGCTTGTATGAGTAAAATCATATATAAAAAGTTAAATATAGGTTGCTTTACGGCCCAGAAGAGAAAGTATTCCTAGCTGATAATAATCTTCGCTTTGAAAAGAATTTATATAAAAGAAATTAAGATTTTTTGTGAACGTAAATGTTGTCCAATGGTGAATAATGTGAAAATAATGTGTTATGTAATATTTATAAACCCAAATTCGTTACATTTTTACTCCAATAATGTCCATAAGGCGATGTACTTTTTCTTCCATTGTGGCATAATTTCATCAAAATGAAGTTTTGCCCTCAAAAGGGCTTTTACATTCGAATTCGTTGCTATTATTTTTGGCATAATTATCTTTTTATTTATAATTGACAAGTAAATTATCAATAATAAACATTATTGTCAATTTGACAGTGTCAAAGTATTTAATAAAATTCTTTAGCAGAAGTACCATTTTTAAAAACTAAAACTACCAAGTCACCAACCTAGCAAAAAAACACAAGTCTAGATAAAAAAAATGAACTTTACATGTGCAAATATATATTTGCATACAGGAGTTTATAAATTATTCAGCAAATCTGGCAACGTTAGATAGCAGTGCTCCAAAAATAAATTAGCAAATGAAATAATTATTAATAGTGGCCACTTATACCTATAATTATTTAATATTAAAAAATGTAAGTCAAAACTCCAATCCTTATAGAGATAGAAATTTAAAAAAAATGCCCATAAGATCTAAATAGAATAGACAAATGACTGATATAAAAAATTGTGAATCAGTTTTGGTGAGTCATTTTTTTAGGTTATTATTCAAAACAACTTCCTCATTTTCCCTGGGACCAAAATATTTTTTTAATGAAAAACTTCATAATGCTAAAAAAATTGCTTCACAATATTTTACATCTATAAATGTTGTAATAATTGTTGTAAAGTGGGTGGGTATAACACTTTTATAAATCAAACTGTAACAATACTTGGTCAAAATGTTAGTTTTGGTATAGTATATTCCGTGAACATACTGTATATTATACACTGGATAA